TTGGTTGATATAATTCATATAAAAGGGATCAGCAAAAATTTTAGCATACAGTACGTACAGTACGTAGCACATCACTAGTCACGTGATTATACAATTTTATCGTGCTTTTCAAATTACTGTGATCAGCATTACAGGAATCAAGAAAAAATGCCAGTCTATGATTGGTTAAAAATTATTTGATTGATTTTTTAGCCAATCACATACTGGCATTTTTTCTAGATTCCTGATTCCCGGTGTGATACATGAAATTTGCTATTTGAAAAGCACGATAATAGCAATATTGGGGTTAATTATGACAACGGTCACGATTGGTCATAACCAAATTGCTAAATTTTAAGGTATTTTGATTTTATCCAATAAATGAATGACTTCTGAATAACTTTAATTAGTAGCTTATGGAGAAAAATCATTTCAAAATTTAGCAATTTAGTTATGACCGATCGTGACCGTTGCCATCCCGAATTGGGTTTATTTGTAAGATATTAATACCTTTAATTTATTGCATTAGATATTCTTGGATCAACGGCTCAAATTGCTTTAGTTATAAATTGTCTCACGGCTGCCATAACTCTTTTTGGATTATTCGTTGTCTGCTGTGGGGTATGTGATGCACGGTAATGGTTATATTTCAAAGGTTATAAAAATACTAATCATTTTTTCTGTTTGAATAAGCAGGAATCCGCACAAGCCTTAAAAATTTATTCTGGACTATTTATTTTGGCCGTAATTGTTCATTTTATATATGCCATCTATTTCGTTTTCGTTGCTGCTTCAAACGACGTTCTGAGATATTACATGGGCACTGCAATTTCTCAATTTGTTGGATATTTGTTTGGGGTTTGTTTACTGTTGTTAGTTTAAATTTTGCTATAAAAATTATATAGTTAATTATTTATTTATTCGATTTCCATAGGTTTGTTTTGCCAAGGTTATTGTTGATTACACTAAACTTGTTGGACTTGAACAACAAAATGCTCAGACACCTGGAAGAGTTGAAGCTTCTAATATGACAAATCATCAAGTTGTTAATTAACTTTAATACTATGTAAAATTTTATTGGAACGTGCGAGGTGACACGTCGAAAACATTGACAGTTTCACATCCGTAGCAATTTATTATTCTTTACTATAATTTATCTAATTATCTTACTTAATATTACATAATACATATTAAATAGAGTTCATATTCTAAATTGATCATAGTTGTTATGAACGTTGTAGCAGCTGAAGTTCTTTGAAAATACAATCATTATTAGAATCCATTTATACCTTTTTACTGTATTATTTTAATACTATAATAAAACTAATAAAGTTCCATTCCAAAAAATTTAAAAATTAAATTAAATAAGTTACATTCTTAACATTTTTAGCTTCATGATCCTTGAGACAAAATCTTACACTATATACTTTGTTGATATACAAACAATAATTCTTAAAAGTTAGTTATTTCGATCATTAAAGATTAATTACCTATATGGTTGGGCAGAAATTTATAAAAAAGAAAAAGCTAGTAAGATAAACTTTATACATACTGTACGATATGTTTTTATCTAATTAAAAAACGACACACCAGTTCAAAAAAACACTTAGGGCAATCTAACGCTATACTTAATAAAGAATTTGTAATTCTATTAAAAACTTACAAAGAAGGCTTTTTGTAAAAATTTTTGCTATTGAAATATTCTAAAATGATGTAATGGCAGCACTTTTATTCTGGCAGATAAGATTGATACTTTGAAATTTGCATAGAATAAAATATTGGTTTTATTTTTGTGCCTAAATAACATACATTCATTTTAAAAAATATCATTGTCAAGCAAACTTTTTTACCATTCGATTCTCTCAAATGAAAAAGACATCAGATGAGATAATTTCAAAATTCAAAATGTTTAATTGTCACTCAGTTTGTTGTATTAAAAAATTGTTAGTAAATGCATTCAGGTTTTGTTCCAGATGGATGGAAACCATTCCGATTATGTTCTGAGTAGAAATTTTAGAGAATAAATCCAAATTTCGAATATGTATTAATTTTTGCTTTATTAAATGAGACGAGAAAACTACAGTAAAAAAAAAAACAATAACCTGCAAATTTGCGTGATTTGAATGTTATGTATGTTTATGTTGTGAGTGGGGCGGAATTTAAGTGGATTTGGAATTTCTTAATAAAATTATAATTTTAGGGCAGAATTTATTCTATATAACCTATACCCTAACCCTAAAATCCTAAGAAATTCCAAATTCACTTAATTTCCGTTCCCACTTACAACATTTATAATAAAGATATATACGGGTTTAATGACAAGCACACATTATTATGAATTAAAGTATTTTTTTAATTTATTGTTCTTATTACTTAATAAATGAACTATTAAAAAGTCACGGCTTTATTTTGCTATTTTGGCAATACCATTACAGTATTAGATAAATTAGAGTTCTTCATAATCAGATTAATGTTTTTCTTTGGATATATTATGCTTTCTTCATTCACTTCATATTAGTACAAATTGAATCACGGAATTTGCAAAGCAAACTGGATGGATATGTTTATAGCGAAGTATCTTTTGAAATAATGCTTCTTTTAATTGGATAAATTCCGATGAAACGCATCGAAGTTTTCGGCATTTCTTAAAAATACCATTTTTATATCTACTTGATATTGAGCCGTTGTTCTGATACACAATCCTCCCAAAAATTTTTTATCGTTCTCATATTGTATTTATAGAAAAAAGGTTGGTATCGCATTTTTTTTAAAGTGACTAGCGTTCCAGTTGAATAGATATTTTCTGAAGGAGCTGACTTAATTGATGTTAAAAAGAAGTAGTCTCGGAACCGTTACTATTCGCTCATGCATGTGTCTAAATTTGTGGTGGCAATAGTGTGTCATTTACACAGGTAGAACAATAAACCTTTTTCACAAGTATTCATTCAAAAATATTTGGTGCGATATGCAACTTTTCCAAATATTTTTTTTATTATCGAAATTCTTTCCGTATCTCTTTCACGTGTAATATAAAAGGTTGGGAAATATTTAAAAGATATTCAGAAAGGTTGTATATCACACCAAGAATTTTTGAAAGAATACTTGTTGAAAAGGTTTATTGTTCTACTTGTGTTAAGGCCACAATCGGTTATCTTAAAGCATTAGTAATGCATTAGTGATGATAATAAATTCATGTAAATTATAAGATGATAAAGAATTGTATAAATTAATTGTAATTAAAAGTATTAAAGCATTTTTTTTTTATTAGCGTTAGTTTAGATATGATTATTTATTAACTAGTAAAACCCGGGTTTTGCTCTGGTCAGGTATGGGCTAACCCGATCAACTAACTGGACGACCAGCTATTAAAATATGAATTTTGATAATGTAAAAAGAAATTTTGAATCGTGGCTATGTAATAAATCAATTCATGCGATGCAGCAACATGTGAAGAATTAAAAATGTGTGATGGCTATAACTGTTTAGTTGTTTGTTCAATATATACCTGGATAAACAAATAAATATTCAGATTTGAATCATGATTTATTGACCACGTTATCTGATGTAGTTTGGAATCAACAAATTTTTTCGCCTTTAACTATTGCAGAGGTTGTACTACCTTGAGCTCATATTGCCATTGGGTAGTGTGCAGTGAGTGGTGTAGTACACGTATGACGTTTATACGAGTGGCTATTTTATGTTTATTAAAACATAACTATTAATCGATTAATCGATCAATCAAAGAAGAAATTTTTATTATCACTATTATTTAGCGAAGTTTTACTTTTTATTTATCATATATATTCCGAATGATTTATAGTCACCACATTATTTTTAAATACGAGTCATATCCTTAGTTCATATTTATTTTCACCGTAGTAAATTTATCTAAAAAAATTACTATATATTAATATTTTTTTTAAAGGACAAATTAACGCTCACTGGAAGTGAAATTCACCGGGTATGTTATTCAGCTTGGATTATCAGTAATTGGTATATATATTAAATAAAAATGTTCGGCATTCTAAAAGCAGAGTGACTGGCACGGCTAAAAAATTTGACATGCCATTAACTAAAACTTGTGCCATGGCATGTCACTTGGATGACACAATATAATTTTATATAAACATTAATAAACTATATATTGTATATTATAATATTATTTTTGGTTTAGCCAATAAAACTATTTTATTAATAATGGCATGCCAAATAGATTTTAAAAATTTTGACATCCCACGACCTGGCATGCCACAATGGATGCCAATCACCTTACCTAAAAGACCCTAACTTCTACTTTAAGTTAAGCTCTAAACCCTGCCCCCAGGGTTTAATTTTAGCTTTAAAATTTGTGGTAAATTTTCTATAAATTATAATTAAAAACATATCGTGATGAATTTCATCTCCAGTGAATACTAAATAATTTTTTTTTTTTTTAAATAAAATTTTTGTTATCATAAAAAGAAAAAAAATACTTTAAGTATTAAAATGACAATACTATCGAAATTACTGCAACATCGATTAGATAAAAATTCTGTGACTAGAAATGAGAATACACTGCTCGTCCATATAATTGAAGTAACAATACACTTACACATACTGCATTTATTGATCCATGGTTATGATTGCTTAGTGTTAGTAATTTAATTCTGCAATAACACATTGATCATCATGAATTAGCCAATCACATGGATGTCTTTCCCAATGTCACAAACATGTGTAATACTTCGAGCAGAAATATTCCGGAAATTTATGTTAATAAATATTTCCTAATATAGTTAATAAATATACAAAGAAACACTTTTAAACAATCACAATTCATAGTATAGTTGATAAATATATAAATAAGCATTTTTAAACAATCACATCATAAGAATAAAAAATCTTAATTGCATGCATAAACTAGCCTGTACAAATCAGAACGTTTATAAAATAGAAATTTCGATTATTCAAAATAAAGAATGTAATATTAACCGAACAATACACGTAAGGCAATTGGGTGTTTTCTTGGAAGCACAGTTTATAATTACCATTCTAATTCCAAATTATTAATGAAACGTAATTAATTTCAATGAATTTTTCTTTATCCTAAAGTTAATAAAAATTTAATTACGACACAACTGCTTATGGCAAATTAATTGCCATAATGCACTTCATATTGTCGCAATGCGAAATTCCAAGATGGAAAAGCAATTCTAAGCGTAACTAATTAAATGATTCATCCGTTACATAATATGTATTGCTATTACTAAAGTATCAAAACAAAAGTCCTTCACAGATTGCAAATTAAGTGCCGATTACATAAACTCCTAAAAAGAAATCAAGCTACAAAATTACAAAGTACTTACGTGAAGACTCAATAGGCGAACTTTAAATTTAGAGGCCATAAAAATAGAATATCAGCTTTTATATACAAAATTTTAAATTAGTGTTTCGAAATCGATTTAAATATTAGTTTTATAGTATTTACATATTCTTTCGCACGTCTAGATTCCGATATATCAAATTAATTACAATCAGACCCTCTAAATGTAACCTCCTATATGTACGCCTTGTGATAAATGCAGGCCTTCGCTTGGGCCTAACTAATATAATACTTATAAAATTTTGCCTCCCTTAAATATAATACCTCTCTAAATGCATGTTCGACCAAAATTTTACTTATGGTCCCGTCACAATGTATTTAAAGGTCTGAATGTACGTACGTACGTACGTACGTACCTATTCTTTCCTAGCATTAGAAGTTGCACAAATGCCGTAAATCTGCAAGTGCTGGAACTGGTATGTGCGTTTTAATAGTT